TTAAAAAAATTCGGTCTATTCGAATTTGGTATTCAAAATACCTGTTGCTATTTAAAAAAATGCAAGTTGTATTGCGCATGCGCACACGRATAGATCTAAAAATGTAAAAATCATCAAGAAATGTGTATTTATGTATTCCCTACCCCCTCCCGAAATCCGCATATTAATCCGATGTCACTGGACAGAATTATTTAGTGTTACCTTTAAAAGGAAACACACTGTATACAAATAACTTAACTATTTCTATTCTCATTACTTAAATAGTTAAATGAATGTAATTTAATTTGATTGTACCTTCAAATGTTATTGAGTTTGTTCATAATTTTTTAACTTTATGTGGGTATTTTGCCAATAACACAATATATATATATATACATATTTATAATATAGCAATAAATAGACATTTTGCTAACCAGCAAACAATGGAAATATCTTAATTGTCTTTACGCGTTAAAAAACTACAAACATATTTTATACAAATACATAATATTATTCTCGTTATATGTTAACATTTTATCTGGAAACAAGTGATGTTGTGGTGTGTATAAAATAATTACTTATGAAATATCATAATCTAGGGTAGGTTTTTGGATTTGGCAGTGGTGGTGCTGCACTGGTGCGCTTGTTTAGCAGTGACCGACGACCATTCGAAGCCGATAAAAAAAAAAATAAATTAAATAATCCGTCTGCATAATAATAATTATTGTTACGATTAAAAAATAACCCTTCCGATCAAACAAAGGCACGTCGAGGGCTTTTCGATTCGACTGCATAACAGTCAGTGTGTACACGTCAAATATTCAGTAACGACGCCTTGTCCGGGGTCACCTTGGGATTAATAACAAAAATACAAAATACGTTATTKTAATAAACTAACCGCAGCCCGCAGGTAAATACAATAAGTTTATAATATATATGCAAACGGGGCAATGTCCAACCGTGCAAGTACACTTATCCTACCTAAATAATAAATAAATTATAATTTTGCAGTATAATACCCGTCAAATAACTTATACGTAAATAAAATATTAAAATAAAATCGTCGGAGTGCAAGCGCTGAACATCAATTTATAGTCATGAAATATATAATATGTGTGTGTTGACGTGAGCATCGGTGAAGATCGATCACAAAAGGCTGTCAATCATTAGCGGTGCACATTATTATCCACAACACTCGCAATAAAGTTAGTATGGGCGTTCCCGGACATTATTCTTTCTGGGGGGTTGAAAAATTAATATAAAAATAGACGAAGACATTTTTTTGTATATTTTAAAGTAATCAATTTTTACTAAATTGGCGCCGCGTTACAGGTAATAATGGTCTGGAAAACAATTTTAAAATTCTAGGGAGGAGGCATGTGCCCCCCTCCCCACCTGGAGACGCCCATTAATGTTATCGTTCAAATTATATCGTCTCTCAGGTATCGTTTAAAGTATAGGTCAAATCATTCCTGATGTTAAGAACACCATGATATTATGCAGTCTTATATTTTCAAATAAAAACRATCGTCGTTGGTCGGTTAATATATTCTTGTAAGTAGAAAAACTTCTTTCGACTTCGACTGATGATACTGGAGCATATTATTTAAAGTGTGAAATATCGTCCGTCGTTATATCTTCTGGTGTATTGTTTTCATCAGGGTTTTCACTATTTATAATTTTTGAAATTTTCTGTACTACCTATTTGTGGAGGTTTAGACTAAATATATGTTATATATATATACAGGGTGATTTTTTTTAACAAAAAAYACTCATTATTTCAAAAACTATTGACTTTTTTCAAAATTTTAAATCCATCTTGTTCTAGAACTATTTATATTTTTTTAAATATTTTCACCCTTCGGTATGTTTATCAGGTAACCCATTATCAACTTTTGATTTTCAAATGACAAATTATATACTTAAAATTTCATAAGCTAAAATTGCTATTTTTTCAATGAATTTTCACGTTTAAATTTTCATTTTTCGTGAATCCGTTTACAAGATATAGCCTCCCAAAGTTGGGTGGTGTTAGTGTGTTATAGGTGTATGTTAGGTGGTATTTACACACAAACACCATGACCATATGAGTGTTGTTTGATAAAAGAATCACCCTGTATATGTGTGGCAAACCAGAATTTATATCCATTAGCATACCTAGGTAGACATTTTGTGGCTCTTGAATAAGTTATTCTATTAATGACCACCACCACATGGTCGTATTTAGGGTAGTGCATTAGTATATAAGTCTCAAAGGTTGATAATAGTTTTTAGAGCAGTGGTTCTCAACCTTTTTATATTTTATGTATGCACTTACACTGCAGCTTGAAAATGTTCGTGCACCACTTCACCAAATAATACGTTTTTGTTGTTCACCAAAAATTTAAACGTTATTTTTCACGTTTGGAATATTATACAATTATACCTCTAGGAACTATACAAAATTATAATTGTTTAAAGTTTAATTAATCAATTAATTAATTAATACACAATTAATGGAAAACTAAGTATTTACAATTATTATTTATATAAAATAAAGCAAGTAATATTTTATGCAAATAATTATTATATGATATAATTTTTCATGAAGTGAGATTTTCTTAGCGTACCACGCATGAGCTTTCCACGTACCACTAATGGTACGCGTACCACAGGTTGAGAAACGCTGGTTTAGAGGACGAGATCACCGACCATCACATGACGTGTTGTCTCCTTTACAAGCGCTTATACAATATATATATATTACTACGTTTATAGCTCCGTTAGTTTAACAAATTAGAGTGAATTGACCTCTTATAAAATTTAAAGGTAAGAATATTATTTGGACCACCTCGAAGGATTTTTTTACTATGTTTTAATTTTGAAGCGAGTTACAAGTATTTTAGAATTGTACATTTTTTGGTACTCTTAAAGTTAAAAGTATATAATATTCCGTTTGCGTTCACATAGCTATTATAAGTACCTACCTACGCGTATTCACCTCGCAACATCAAATTTGAAATTATCAACGACCTAAAAGGTGAGTATTATTTGTTTTTATATGCTATTATTCATTTATACCATCAAATCATTCAAAACTATGAATCATGATATTTTATTACTCCACTACATTCCAAGGTAATGTTCCCAATAACAGATAATTATACTCCAGAGACTCTCAGACTCTTCTACAAGATGGTGGAAAACATTCTCACCGTAAAGGAAGAGGAGGAGAGGGCTCGACAAGCCACAGGAGCTGAAAGTTGAAGTCAGTACGGGATTCGAAAGCGGCGGGTTATGCCGGCTTGAAAAGATGTCATCAGTACGAGATGTCTAGGATGGCTGGCTAGTCCGGTCCGAGAAGAGGCGCCAAAACGCGATGTCTAGGGCGGCGGACGCGGTCGGCCCGAGTAGATA